TCTGTTTTCATAGCGCTTGTATTCTTAAGTATTTCTAATCAGTCCACAGGTGGAGAAAAACCCTTTTGGTTTTACATTTATCCGAAAGCCACTGCCTTTATTTCAGTGAACTCAGCAGCCTGTAAACTGTATCCAGAGCTGCAAGTGTGTACAAAGGAAGGCCTTCAGTGGGGGCATTTAATTCTGGCAGTCTGCACTCTGGGTGGGCAACAGCCACAGAACTGTAGACGTTGCAATTGACAACTGCAAGTCTTGCATTTTCGAGACATGTGGCTTGAAAAACAATCCAGGCCTTTAATAGAAATCAACCTGAAATACCCAATATTCCTGACCCTGTGTAACTATTTTTAAAATGTTATTTCAGTAAAATTTTTAAATCTTAAATTTGCTGAGATTTCCTTTACTTAAGAACATTTCCCTTAACTTAGAGGAAGAGTTGATGGATCTGATTTAAATCTTAAAGCCAAGAACCTTCCTAACCTGGATCTCCCGTATCTTTCTTCTCTTACCTCCCACCACCCTCTCTCTCTGCCCTCCGCACTGTCCTCCTGCAGTTCTTGGAGTAACGGTTCAGGCAAGCTCCTGCGTGAGGGCATTTGCTCCTGCAGTTCTGTCTTACTGAAGCACTCTCCCCCCACTTGTCTGCATCACTGCAGACTTCCTCTAATGCTGAAATGTACACTTGTGGGTGAGCCTCCCCTCATCCTCTCTCCAGGGCGTGTAGCACCACTGAAAAATACTGTTTACTATTGCACTTATCACGTGCCTACCCATTGAAATGGAAATTCCAAGAGGTAGAACCTTTGTTTCTGTAAAGGCAGAAAGGTTTGGGGGTCTTTTATTGTTACTGTTAACAGTGTTTTTTTTTAACTGTATTTTTTTTTAGTACTGTATTGACAGAACATAGTTCTCTCAAATATGTTTTTGAATGAATGAATGAATAATCTAGTATTGAAATATATTTGACAGCAATTAAATATAAGCCAGTATTGAAAGCTCGTATCTATATTGAAAAGATAGCTAAAGTGAAACTCATCAGTGCATTAAGCTTAATCCTGTGTGTTAACTGCTCTTTATAAAACCAAAGTGTGTCTTTCAGTAGTACTGCACACGTTTAGTGAGAGGAAGAAGACCCAGGACTTAAGTAATTGAATTTTCTCATGGCCTAAGCCAGCAGTAACTGTTTCTGAATGGGCTTTGCGTATTGTTTGTTGACTTGATATGATTATCTGATACACAGTCATACATAAATAATTGGATTCTATACTCCAAGTCTCAATATAATATCTTGCTTTCAGATGGGACACAAATATAAACTGTCCCAGATATGCCACTATCTCCAGTGTTCTTTAAAATCTCTAGAAACAAAGTTTCTGACACTCCTTTCGTGTAATGGACACTCAGGTTTGGCAACTCCTATTATGAAGGAAAAGCGGGCTGGTCTAACAAGATAACTCACAGGTCTAGGAATGTGAAGGAGAGGCTGGGCTAGGCTAACAAGATAACTCACAAGTCTAAGTATTGGAATACTGATCTGAGTTCTGCTGGACTAACTTGTAAATCTAAGTTAATTAGTGTTTGTTTGCTGTTTGTTTTTTTGCTAGCCAGCTGGATTTTCAAAGATACATATCTGGCTTTGGAATGTTGGTTTGCTGCCTCCCCACCTCCACTTCTGTGATGATAATGCTGCTAAAGCTGTTAAATGCCTATTGGCCGAATACTCCAAGCTTGTACTTTACCCTATAAAACCTCCTGTGCGCGTCTTGGAGGTGCTCAGAGCTTCAGAGCAGAAGCCCCCCTGAGCCCGCCAGCGTAATACATCTGAGTACTCCAACCCTCCGAGTGGTGCTTGTTTCTTGACTGGCCTGTCGTTTCCGTAACACTATAATTAGAAATTCTTCCAAGTTTCTAACCAAAATCCTATTTGAAGTTTAAGGTTCATCAGATCAACCTCTTGTGATGGAACAGGCCCATTAAACTGACTTTTGGTTAAGTTAAATCTCAGGAATGGGTGCTAGATAAATAACATGATTATCGTTTTGTGCCTAAGTGGGAACACTTACGCTTTCTGACTCATGTTTAAGTCACTCTTTAGTAGAAGATAACTGTAGTCACACAGGATGGGACATTGCAGTGAGTATGTTTGTGTATTTCCATGAAAATTACCAGGTTCCTTTGACATCACCGTGGTTCCTGAGCTATGAGCAGTAAAGTGTATGGGGGAGAGCATTCCCCTGTAGGAAAGAACAGAAACCATATTACCAGGGCTTCTGGTCTCAATTCCGTTCAGAGAGAGTCTTCCTACCTTAGCTAGCATTATGAACTATTAGTAAATAATCAGCATATAAATATTAATAATCTATGTGCATCCCACTTTGCGAATGACGTGTTTATTTATCTGCCTCTGATCTCTCCAATTTCCACTCAGATTCATGTAACTTTTTTTCACTTCCACAATACCACTACTACTGCTACTTTGCTAATAAAATCGAAAAAGTATCTGTTTTCGTCATCTTGGGCTGCCGTAACATAATGCCAGAGACTGATTGGCTTGGACAACAGACATTTATTTTCTCATAGTTCCAGAGATTAGAAGTCCAAGATCATGGGCCAGCATAGCCTGGTTCTGGGGCAAGCCCTCTTCCTGGCTTGCAGACGACCCCCATCTCTGCGTGCACACGTGGCCTGTTTTCTTGTGAGAGCATGGAGAGAGGGCAAGCTCTCTGGTGTCTTTTCTTATAAGGGCACTAATCCCATTCTGCGGCCCGCCCCCCATGACCTCATCTAACCGTAATTACCTCCCAAAGGCCCCATCTCCAGATCGCATCTCACGGGAGGTGAGGAATCCAACAAACCATACACTGATGTTGTATTATCCATATTTATACTGTATTTTAAAGTGTTGTTTTACTTCGGGGGTGGAGATCCGAAAGGGGCCTCTAGTCGTAACAAGTAAGTAAACGACTAGAACACAGCGTGGGAAACGCGAGCATGTGGAAGGCACAGCGGGAGCTCCGGAGGAGTGGCTCAGCGCCCTACTTCCAGGGGTGTGGTTAGGAATCTCTTGACAGACGGAGGAGGCGCACGTCCAGCAGGTGGAGAAGGAGAGAAGGAGCCATGCACCCACGTGTGCTGAAGGGGCGGGCTGTCCTTCGTGCGCTTCCCAGAGCCGCTGGGAAGGAGCCAGGACAGGTGGCGCGAGTGAAGTGAAACTGGGTGCTTGTATTTATTCTGCCCTTACAGTGAGGGGTCTTCATGTGACGGTTCTGAGAGTGCCTTTCAGCAGGAGACACACTGTCTTCTAGTGAGTAAGAAACAATGCCCACGTCGAAGGAATTGTATCATCTGGCCTGTGTTAGTTAAAAAAAACAAGACAGAACAGTACAGCAACTTTGCAGTTTAAATGAAGGACTAGAAGAGAAATATAGTGATGTGAGTTTCTGGCTCTAAAGAATGTAAACGCCAGCAAAGATACGCATTTCTGTAAAAATTTGAAATAGGGAATTTGCCTTTCTAGACCTCTTCAGTTGTTGAAAAGAGACTCATTTTATTGCTGTGCCTTAAACATACCTGTGGGTGGAGGGTGATACAGTGGGCATGAGGTGACAGTCTAAAGAGCCAGTATGAATCAGTCCTGTAAAATAAGGGTGAGGTCCAGAAATGAGGGTCTGTGCTTGTGCAATATGAAGCCCTGCCTTTTTTTTTTTTTAACCAAAGCTGAATCACTGTGGTTCAGCAGTTGTGTGTTCAAATCCTGACATTTTCTCACCATCTTTATCCTAAAATGGAGATAACCTACCCGAGATAGTAGGTATGAGGATTAAGAGTATTAATAAATTCAAAAATGTATTACACATAATAAGCATTTGATAAATGCTAGTTGCTATAAAAGTATAGAAGGGTTAGACAGATGTGTCCATTATGAAAAAACATCTCTCTCATTTTCTAAAGTAATATATGGGCATTTGGGTTTTTTTTTAATTAATACTGTAAGTTAATTTTTAAATATATTTTTTCAAAGATAGAAAATTGAACCTTATGAACATGCTTATTCACCCTAGTAAACTGTTACTTCATTATCATGGAAAACTGACTTGTCTGTCACTAGGATGGTGAGAATATATTTTATATGGTGCTGATACCCAGATTATAAAGACGATAAAAGCCAATACATTGGAAAATGTCATAACATAAAATCTGTGCACTAAAAAATTTCATTTTTGTATTTAATGTTGTTTTTTAACTTCACTGGAATTTTAAATACCAACATGCCTATGACTTCCCAAGTTTCTTCTCTCTGTCAGATAAGTATGTTTTAAAAAATTACTCCCACTGGATCAGTTGAGTAGATAAATTCCTAATGGTAGCAAACTCACGTAAAAAGATAGATAATAGAATTCCTCTATTTGCTTTCAGATTTTCAGACGATGCTGGTTGGTTTTCAAGAAGGCGTCTAGTAAAGGACCCAGAAGGCTAGAAAAATTTCCGGATGAAAAGGCAGCATATTTCAGAAACTTTCATAAGGTGAGTCACAGTCTCTGGAATCTCTGGGGAATAACTGGACCCTTGGCAACAACTGTGGAGATATTTCTGTTGATAGATGAAATCTGCAGAGGCAGAAATGCATAGCCGGGATAAAATGTCCCTGTGCTGACCAAATGCAAGTTATTTTTCTCCTTTATTTTAATCATCTGCTGTAAATGCCAGTGGTACCTCTGCAAAACGAAAAACTCATTTTTATTGCTACTTTGCAAAATGAGATGACTCATAACTCAGCCAGATCATTTCCTAAGGTGCTGAGTAGGCATTTCCCCTCTGTTCAGGTTAATTGTGCATTTGTTACTTTGATTTAAACTGTGGGCAACGTTCAGGGGATAAAACCCTCGAGGCTGGTGTTAGCGGTGTTAATGATACTGTGAATGCACAAAGCACTTGCTGTTTAGAGCATAACAAGAAAGGGATCATCATGTGTGCTGGTGTGGCGTACATCCTGTGAATCAATTTCCTAAGAATTAAAGGTACTTAGCAAGAAATCACCATAGAAATATGCTAAATATGTTATCTTTGGTGATAAAGTCAAAACACAGCTAAGTATTTGATAATAGTATGAAGAATTCATGATCAGAATGCAGAGTCGTGGCGCAGTATTGCCTTCTGGTAGAATGCCCACACGTAAGCTCGGGGAAGACTCTAATTCCTCACCGGTGGTAATACAGAGTAAGTTACCCTGAATACTGTAATGAGGTTGTGGAATTTATTTTATGTGATAGATAGTTCTGATTTCTTCTTTTATTAAAAATAGGATGCTTGCCAGGAGTGAGGGGAGTGGGAGGGATAAATAGGCAGAGCACAGAGGATTTTTAAGTCTGTGAAACTACCGTTTATGCTACGCTAATGGTGGACGTATGTCGTGATAAATTTGTCCGAACCCACAGAATGTACACCACCAAGAGTGAACCTTATTGTAAAATACGGACTTTGGGTGATGTATGTTGTGTCAAAGTAGATTCATCAGTTACAACGAGTGTACCGTCTGGTGGGGATGTTGATAACAGAGGAGGCTGTGTGTGTGTGGGGGGCAGGGGGCGGGAGGGAAGACTCTGCACTTTCTGCTTAATATTGCTGTGAACTTCAAACTGCTCTTAAAAATAGTCTATTAAAAAATAGATTATTTGACCATAATGAGCTACCCAGTCCTATTACACAAATAATTAGCAATCATTTGTATTATATTTGAACCTATAAGACTTAACATGTTAATTACTTCAACTCTGTATGAAATATTCTACATGTGAATATAGATTTACTGTCAGAGTCCAAGTGTAAGGTCCTGCCCAGCCACTTACAGTAGCTCATGGGTTTGTTTTTCCCATTAGTACATGGATTTTAAAATTCTTATCTTACATGTCTCAAATCTTTAAGACTATTTGAGATAGAGTATCAAAAAACAACCAACACAGTAATGCAGGTTCTAACAATATGAAAAATTATTTGTAGCCTGAAATCGTATTGGTATTTTATATCATGTTTATGATTGGGGCAGTAAATTTTAAACCTGACCTAATAAGGAATTGCCAGGCTGTGAAGTGTGAGCCTGCGACATTTAGTTTTTGAGTAAAAGTCTGAAAGACTGAGTATAGTATATGTTCCGTGGATTCCTGGTCAGGATGCCCGTGTGCTGGTCAGTGCCGCATCCCAGCTGCACGCGCTCTAGCCAGCGCACCTGGAGTTCATGTGCTCATGACTCTGCCATCTTTCACTTGAAAACTGGAAACAGAACCACCTATAAGGATTAGTAATTCAGACATAAGAAAGTACAAGATGCCTGCTTTATGCCGGGCACTGGGCTCCTCACTGGGGATACAAGATGCACAAAGCACAGTCCTTGCCCTGCAAGAGCTTATATTCCAGTGCAAAAGACTCACACCTGCAGATCAGTTCATTCAATATGAACGAGTCTTAATAAATTGAAAAAAGTTGAGGTCCTAAAGAGTACGTTCTCTGACCATCAATCATTTAAATTAGAAATCAATAATAATAAGTTATCAAGTGAACTCTAAATATTCGGGAATTAATGTATTCTAGGAGGTCATAATCAAAGAGGCAATGAAGTCACAGAGGCTATGGGCCGATATTCTAAACTCAAAGACAGCAGAAGCGCAGGTGTTGGCAGGTATGGAGTGTAGCGGTACCAGTGAGCAGAGGGGAATGCATAGCTTTCAGTTTTTACATTAGAAAGAGACAATATGTAGGAGAAAATGTCAACGACAGAGATACCAAAATAACAGTAGAGAAACTTTGTAAAGTCAATAGCTGTTTCTTTGCCAAAAATACAGACACAAACAAAAGAACACTCA